GGGGGGGGGGGGGGAGATGGCCGAGATTGTGCCGGTCTTTCCTGCAGGAGCGCACCTGTCATCATGCACGCCTTCCCTGCACGAAAGCAACTGCAATCATGGCTCTCTCTCAACTCGGGGGGGGGGGGGAGATGGCTGCGATCTTGGTTGCCACCCAATGTGGAGTTCGTGACCCACGTCAAAATTTTAATGAAATTTTTGTTAGTGACCCAATTTGTTCATGAACCAAGGCATTTGTGAGCCAAGATACCACTGTAACTGCAACTTTAATTTATCTGGATGGGGGAAAGTCAAAAAGCTGCCTTTGAAATATTCTGTAACTGTTTATAGGGGTAAAAAACATATTATCACTCCAAATAGGGCAAGTTAGGACTGTTAGAATGTTGTAAACTAACCCTCCACCTCCACATTTTTGCATAATACAGGCATGCATCTCCAACGTTTCAATGAATACAATGTGCTATTGATCTAGGAGCCTTAGAACTATATCACTTCTACTTAAAAAAATAAAAAATAAGTTTTGTAACAGATATCAAATATTCACCAGTCATCACTAAAATCATGGAGATTCAAATAAGTAGCTACCATTGGTACCAGCATGAAGGTACTACTATGAAATAAGCTTTTCTTTTTAGATTTGATTCTCAAGGAAAGTTAGGGACTTGTTTAATCCCCTCTGCAAAAGTTAGTGCGGCTTAAGTCTGCCATCTGCTGATGAAAGAATTCTACCTTTAATTCTTAGTATATAGGACAGATATGGCCTTCCATCAAGTAATGACTTTGGGAATAGTTGTTCTTTCAGTTAAATCACTTTCAATTTCCAGAAGCTGTCCAATTACAATTTTAATGGCTATTTGTGCATTTTACTGTGATTTTTAAGTGTTTAGTGCTTTTAGTTTACTTTTGCTTAAGATTGCTTTAATATATTGTTAGCTGCTTTAAGCTATACTGAAGAAATGCAAGCATATACATATATTAAATTATGTAATAATAGTAGGAATCACCAGATGCAAGTATACACATTTTGGGCTACTTGTCACACATATCAGAAACCAATGATACAGGTTTTTCAGAAAAAGTAGAACTGAACATTTTTCCAGTGCTCTAAATAATATCCTGTTTAGCATGTTTGTCTCAGTTTTACATTCTCCCTCAGTAAGCAGACAAAATAATTCATACTTAGTAAACAGAACTAAAAAATGAAATCCATGTCAATTTCATGAGAAGTATAAATATGTAAGTTTTCCCCATAGCTACAAAATATTTGAACAGAAATATTGTATGGGGGGAATTAACCACCCAATATAGTTCAAAAGATTTATTCACAAATATTCAAAGCTTTATTAAAATATTTTACTGGAATGTAAAAATATAAAGACCAGAGCATATAATTGCTTATGTTGGTCTTTAATAAAATGATTAAATCTGAAAGAACAGTGCTTTTAGGATATAAATTCAAAGAGAGCTAATAACAACACCTTCAGCTTTGCTCACTCTCTCCACTGCTTACTGGTTCCATTTCAAGATGCAAAAATTCTGAACAATAAGTTGAACGCCCTATTTCACTGAAGGATGGGTGTGAATCTATAGATATAGGCTAGGGGAACGTGGGCAAGAGGATGCTTTGGGATTGCATGGGCAACTGGTTGACCAGTGTGTGAACAGAATGTTGTACTGGATGAATCCTTGGTCTACTACATGCCTGATCAAGCACGGCTCTTCCTATGTCTTTAAGTGAAAGACAGTATTTGAAAGACATTTTGTTTTTCTTCAGTTTGATACTAAAGAATGTTAGCAACACAGGGCAAATAAACCATTTATAAGTCTGGTCCAGGCCCCACCAGGAGCTAACTGCATTGTGCAGAGGAAGGGTTTGTCATACCTTATTTTTCATTTCCCCCATGGGCAACTGAGCACTAGAATATGTCAATGCTTGCCATAGAAAAATACAGACGTTTGTATCCTATACAGTGGTACCTTGGCTCACGAACTTAATCCGTTCCAGGACTCTGGTTGTGCACCAAATTGGTTGTAAGCCAAGTTACATTTCCTCATAAGGTTGAGTGTAAATAAGGTTAATCCATTCTGTAACTATTTTTTAAAATCAGAAAGACGTGAAGCAAAGTGACAGAGAACAAAGATTGCAGCCACCTCCCCCCACCCCCGAGATTGCAGTTGCGCTCGTGCAGGAAGGCCGGGCACAATCACGGACATGCTCATGCAGGAAAGACAGGCGTGATCTCGTCCATCCGCCCCCACCATCCCCAACATGATCGCAGTCATCTCCCCACTTGGGGAGGGTGGGGAGATGGCCAGGATCGCAGTCGCCACCCAATGCGAAGTTCGTGACCTGAGTAAAAATGTTTATGAAATTCACGACCCAATTTGGTTGTGAACTGAGGCATTCATGAGCCAAGGTAAGACTGTATTTAGTCCATCTAACATGCCTGCAGTTCACCAGTCTAGAGAACTATGGATAAATGCCGATATACATAATATTGAAAAATTTCTACAGAAAATATAGCCCTGAAAAATTTCCACGCCATATCACTGTTAGAAATTCAAACTAAAAGGGATCCTTAGTTATTAATTAATCAAAATCTTCACATCCAGTCTATAGATTAAGTCTCAGATTATGCATCCTATACACGACTGAAAATGCTGATTGTTGATTGTGAAGAAAGTATGAAGAGCCTGGTCTCCAAAGCACACATAATAATCATGAAAGTAGTTTGAAAAATCAAAACTAAGATAACCTGGGAACATGATTTTGTGCATACAGTATACACAAGCAGGATAAAAGGTTATTTGGACCACTCTTTAAATATATTTTATCTAGAGTAATGGAAAATTATGTACAGGTCATACACAGGTGATATCTCACTCTTTAGAAGGCAAAGAAGATACCTGAAAATTGTTGTCCTTTATGTTAGAGCCAACATTTAGGGACAGGATCTTACATATGTAGAACCAAGATGCATATATTTTGGCTGCAGTTGTTTAAAGAGGTTGAATTGGTAACATGAAAAAAATCACACCATCCCCAGTACAATGTACTGTTAACTTCCTTTTAGGAGTGGTTGCTAAACTAGAAATTGGAGCCAAAAATAACTGGTACAATGGAGTGCTCAAGTTTCAACTTTAGTGCTAATGGAAACACAGCCTAAAGACATTAAAGTAGAAAGGACCACAGACTTGTATTCCATATGGTACAAGTTTATTGAGTTTTATTCCATATGGTACAAATTTATTGAGTTTACAATGCAACATAGAGAAATCACTTCACGTCCAGTTGCTCATGGGTGACTTTGCCAAGATTTATTTGGATAATTTGACAAAGACTTACTGACTGTAAATAGCTTTATCAGATTGGATGATGTTATATGCCCCTAATGATTTTCCCATTCTATTGCCTAAGATTAGTTACTTTTGTATACCTTTTATTTGACTCCAATTTGTTATTTGTTGCTTATGTTCAGTTTTTGTTATTTGTACCAAAAATGTATAAGCTCTAAAAAACCTAAAGAAAGAAACAAACTCCAAATGCAATAAAAAAAAATGTTAGGGCTACTTCTGACCTCAGAAAATTTCTGACATAAGCAGAAAGCGTTTATGACATAAGCAGAAAGTAATGAGGTGATGATTGCAATTGATTGATCTTAAACTCTCAGGCAGGAGTTTTGTAAAATGTGAAAAAGTCAAGCTCTGGTCACTTGCAGCTCCTGTGACAACTATTTTCCAATTGGGGAGAATCCTATGCATCCTAGTTGCACAGAAGTAGAAGACCAAACATTAAATGTGCAACCCACTGCCTGTTTACACAGGCATAAAACCCCTACAGCATTTCCCAGCCAACCACTGCCCACAGAATATTGGAGTTGCAGAACTCTTTCCTATTAAACATGCAGAGAACTGTTCCCTTATTAAATTTAAATACTAGGGAAGGGGAGAAAAGTTTCAATTTTCTATCCTAGCAGTCACCTTGAGGAATAGCCTGTTTTGCAGACTCACATGTATGACACATCCCAATTCAACATTTAAGAATAATGAACCTCAAAAATTAGAGGAAATTAACAGGGCAATTTTTAGGTTTTTTTCCCCTGTAAAAATTACCCTTCCTTAACCTGGCAGCTTTCAGATGTGTTGGACTACTGCTACATTTACTCCCAGCCAGCAGACCCAAAATCAGCTGGGGTGATGGAAGCTATAGTCTAATAAAGCTACAGAACACCATGTGAAGGAAAGCGTCCCCATGCAGCTAATTTAACACCACCCAAGCACGTACAGACAACCCCTGACCATGTCAATTCCATAAGGCAGCACACTTTAAACAGCAACTTTTGGTGTGTCTGTACCAAATCTTCAAAAGATTGGTTCTTCATCTTATTATGGCACAAGTCTGTGCATGTTTGGACAGAAAATGTTACTACAACTCCCAGCATGCCCCAGTTAATATGGTTGACAGGGAAATGCTGGGAACTGTAGGACTTTTTCTGTCAAAACATGCATAAGCATGTCTCCTCATTATAGTTCAGTACAAGGATTTAGAACCACTGATTTTCTGCCTTTGCAGTGTCTGTCCAGAACCACCTTGCAGAATAGCTGGATCATAATATACGCACACTTTTTAAACAGCTGTATGGCACGCACAGTG